GGCCTGGACAAAAATAACCAATCAGAGCAGGATAGAGTGAAAAGTTTCAACAAATATGACAAAAGTATATTTTTTTATAAAGATGACCTACTGCAGCTTTAAGTTGTTTAATTTCCTCCACTTTGACAAACTACAATATTACAAAAATACAAAGTACACCTACATATGAATAATAATCCAGTAATATAATGATATAACACTGACAGGCAATTCTGCATGCTTCTTTTTTATACATTAGGTACATTTTGTTGCTGATGCTATACTTTGCTAAACTTTAAATGCAGGAGTTGTGCTTGTAATTGAGTATTTTTATAGTGTGATATGGCTTCTTCCACCAGCGGTGTTTATGCATTTTGTTTGCCTTTAGCCATGTGGCTCGGAGAGTCCTGATACACTTTTAATCCAGCAAAAAGAAAAACTCTGCTTAGGTTCTATAATAACCTGAAGCACATGAAGTATCTAGAGTCTCCTGGCTTCACACAGTATAGTCTGGATATTATACTGTAACAGCATTGTAATTAGATATAATTACAATAATATTTTATAATATGAGAGAATTATGTAAAACATTTGAAAAGTGCCATATGAATAAAGAATTATTAATATTATTATTTCCAATAATTTATTGTAGGTGTATAATTTATACTAATATTTCTTCTAAGTCTTTGATATCAGGCGCCTTTGCTCGCTGAAGATGTAGTTCACCTACAACATCACTAGATGGGGTTAATGAGATTTGACAGGCAGTAAAATGAGCCCTGGTCCTCTCTCTGAACTTACAGTGGAGAGGTAACTCTGTAAGTGACTGCACAGTGGGAGAAATGTGGGAATTCTTGCTACACATTTTGTGCAGCCAATATATTGCTGAAAGTTATGTAACCCAGTAGATCTAGGAGAGCTAAAGTTTTCTTTCTTTCTTGTAGAAGGGGATGAAATAAAAGCCACCAACCACTCAGAGTAGGCCTGTACACTATCAGGGCTGTAAAAGATTGTCAAAGCTGTAAGAAAAAAGGTAGAAACGTGTAATAAACCCCTTTAAATGCATCCCTACAACCAGAGGAGCAGCTCAGCCTGCATCCAGTTTGTTTTCAGTAAAAACAGTGTTTCTCTCAGCTAGTGGTCTTCATGAACTCGGCCATTATTCAGTACTTCCTTCAGGTGAGACAGCAGCACTCAGCAGGAGGTAGACCTGTTATTGATGATTGTAGTAGTATTATTTCTAATAGTTCTTCACTTTAGATCTCTCCACTTGATTATATTTATATACAGTCTATGTCTGCACTGAAGGCTGACTCATTAGTCACTGTATTGAGACCTTGAGTAATTGGAGTATGATTTGATGTTTTTGATATATTAGCTTGTTGTTCACTTATTATCCATCAAGAACAGAGACTACGAAATGATTCAGCCTCCTCAGTTCAGAAATCATTACTAGTACATATTGTCGTAGAAAACAAATATATATATATATAAAAATCTGTTTATTTCTGAGGCTTAACTCAACATATAGACTGGAAACGGGGAGAAATAGCAGGTCTGGCACCGTTTGAAGACAACAAAAGCCACATACCAGCACCTCTAAAGCTCACTAATTAACACCTTTTGTTTAATGTGTACAACAAACAAAGTGTAAAACTGACAAGTTGTGGTTTTACGAGATTATGTGCGGGACCTACAGTCTGTGTTTGTTACATGGCAACCACATAGTGACAGAAAGGCTAGTATTTTCCTCCTGTTCCCAGTCTTTGTGCTAAGCTAAACTAATTATCTCCTGGCTCTAGTTTCACATTTACCTTACAGACAAGAGAGGTACTGATCAACTCATCTAACCCTCGGCAGGGAAACAAATTCCATTGTTATTTCCGATGTGCGTGTAAAGCCTGTATCTGCTCTCCAGGAAAGATGTGGCCAGAAATCCTGCAGATGTGGCCGTGACAGGAGGAGATTCTTCTCTCCACGTCCGGACTCCCAGAGGAGATCTGAGCCTGACTTTGCCGGCAGGAGTCACCTTCGAGCAGGGATCCTGCATTCCCACACCTGCGGGAGAATCCTGTGGAGAGGAGCTGCATTTCAGACTGCGCATTAATGTCTCAAGGAGCACAGAGGAAGGTAATGTCATCTGAAGGTGAAGGTAATGGACAATGGAAACACATCCAGACATGTGCAGCCTCCTTCTTCTTTCTGCTTCTAGACTCCTCTATGCCAAAGCTAGAACAAAGTCTTTTGGTAGCTATTTAGAGCCTGCTGTCTATTCTGAATTAATTGGATTGAGTCACTTGGTCATCTGGGACAGCGAGGGTGTAAATTCTTTCTCTTGGGACCCTTAACAGCCCACAAGTAACTGATCATCAGAATCATGAGAATATTCCCTTTTGGTTTGATCTCATATTATCAAAAGTGCACCCTAGAGTCGTTGCATAATATCCACAAACGCCATCTTTTGGCATTTCCTGAGATTTTGTATGTGACTCCCAGTGCAGGAGGAATTTACAGCAAAGGACAGTCATTGACAAATCCAGTCAAAATCCGATCGATCTGTCCGCTCCCTAGCCGAGCCACCATTACCACCCAGTATTTTATCGATTTTCTGCTCTGTAGTACAAGGTTACAACCCTTTCACCAAATCTGGTTCATTTATTTGTTTGCCTTTGGCCCTCCACAGAGGCTTCTGACAGCGTGATGGAGACACTCCGGGCAAAAGAGACTTATTGCTTCTACTGCCAGGGCTGCATGACCAGGCTGCTGGAGGACAGGTGAGGAGCAGACGGACGAGGAAGAGCATCAGTGGAAATGTTTTTTTATTTACACCCTCCTCCGCAGGAAGAGGAGCAGGTGTTTATTGATGGTGTGACCCAGCAGTGAAAGTGATAGTCTGGGAAAGAAAAATTGATGGATGGAGTGCACAGTTGTCAACCTGACGTAAAGGTCCACGCTGCCCATTAAAAAACAATTGTGTTTCTTACCTCGAGGTGGTTCAGCTGGACAGCGCTATTGTTCTTATTGCCCTAAGCTTGTAGCTTTCTCTGGTCAGCAATGTGATATGCTGAAAATTGCAATAGCTGCATTACCCAGACCCTTGGCCTCTGGCTATGTTTCTCAGCAATAACCCACTAAAAGTTGCCAAAAACTTATTTTTCGCTTTCAACAAGGGCTGGGGAATGTAAAACTGTCAGCGCTTGGAGCGTTGTAAAAGTTATAATTTTAACAACATTATGCCTCATTATGCTTTGTAGCAATATGTTCCATTTTATGGCTGCTTAGAGGTATTAAGGTTGCCATTGACTGCGGCCATCAAAAAGAACCCTTTGAAAGTTTCTCATAAGTGTTTTACTGGAATTAATAAAACTGGTATTGTATTAAAGCTGCACTGATCGGTATTCTTATATTGACACTTGGTCAAATGACTACATCAAGACTAGAAGTGACAATTCAACAGAAAATGATTACCTAACTCTGCAGTTCTCCCTTTGTTTATTTGAGCTTTTTTCAGCTTATTGTTTTGGTTTCACGGGATCAAATAAACACTGTTTTGGTTCAGTCTCACAACTCTCACGGTTTCAGAAGCAGGAACCTGTTTCCAGTTAAAGGATTAGTGTGTAGGATTTAGTGGCATCTAGCAGTGAAGTTGCACATTGCAACTATCTGAACATTGCTCGCGCCTGTGTTTGCCGACCTGGGAATGAGAACGGCTGTGAAATGTGTTTGAGAAACTACAGCGTTCACGAAACTCGCAAAAAAACACAAAAGGCCCTATCGACAGCCAGTGTTTGGTTCAATATGGCGGACTGCCTTGGCGTCTGTAGCCAAACAATGGAATGTAGTATTGTGTTATTATGTATTTTTAACTGGTTATGAGTAATAGTAATAATGATGACACCGACTCAGATTTTGTCGTATTCCCTCGAAATCAGCCAAAATGAGGCGGTGGAAACACTATCGCTTTTGACTTTAAGGAACAAGTGAAAAACATGACCTATCCCCCTCAGTCTCTGGTGCCATTTGGTTTTTCTTTGGTCTGATTTTCCCCTTTGTATTCTGATCTTCTTTGGTCCTAGGGAAACTGTGTGCTTATTGAGAGATAACAGCTAATACAATTTCCAAATATCACTAGACAGTGATGGAAACAAAACCTGTAATTGCTTTTTGTTTTGTTTTCCCTCTTCTTCAGAGTGTTTAAGCGAGTCCTTCCTCTCCCCAACGGCAACTGGAACTCTATCGTGGACGACTGGTGTTGCCACCCAGATCCGTTCGCTAAGAAGCTGCTACCCCGAGCCGAGGATTGTTTACTCGGTGACACCTTCCTCCTTGTAGCCAGAGACGACAGCTGTGAACAGACTCTCACAGAGGAAGTGAGCCCTGTTGGCTCAGAAGACAGTCAAGATCCAAAGGTGAGAGACTTGCAAAGGAAAACAACCCGTTTGCTCCTTTTATTCTTAGAAGAAAGACAAAGGCTTTGAGCCAGCATTTCAAAGAGAAAACTACAGGTTTTAAGAAGTGTTTCATTTTTTATTTTTTTTTAGAAAAGTAAATCTATATGAAAAACTGATTTCTATGTATCTATAAATATATATCTGGGCATCAGATTAAAATAATGATATCAATAAATATGGTGAAAGCACTGAATGGTCAACACCGTATTTTTTAAATAAAAGGCAAAACTGAATTCATAGTGTTATCATACAGTACACTGTCCCCCACACAGACACGCACTCCTCAGACGGCTGCATCTGTGAAGTCCAACTTTAGCGCTTTGTAGACGAGGATTGATCTCCCTACTCTTCTTATTAGTCATTCTCTGCACGAGTGGCACTCTTTGCATGACTGAAACTGAGAAATAGAAAGAGAGGCAGATAGAAAGAGAAGGAGAACAAATGACAATCTGCCTGCCATATATCTCTCACTGTCTCTCCTCCTCTGTCTTCCATCCTGGTTATAGTGGCTATCGATTGCGGCTTGATAACAGCCAAGGTAAAGATGGGTGTGTATTGTGGTGAATGATTTTCTTTTTTCTCTTTTTCTCTTTTTCTCTTTTGTTACGTGCAGAAACCCTGCCGCCGACTGGCACTTGTCTCCTGCAAGAGCTGCTCATCAGTGCTGGGAGAGGCTGTCGCCCCAGGTATACATCACTCCTAAAGATTTTCATAAATAATCATAATTTTCAACTGTGTGTCTGAGCCTTTCTCTGTTGCATCTTACAGGGACCCTGAAACTGTACATCACACAGGTGGTGGTGGAGGCCGCTGTGGGAGACAGAAAGCCAGAAGCTTCACTTAACAGGCAGGTTTTTCTCCAAGCCAAGTGGTGACAATTAAGTAACTGTTGAAGCACATTCTTTCACAGGGAAATAAAAAAAAAAGCAGCTGTTATATGCAGAGACTGTAGGAGAAACTATAAAGTCACACACCATCCTTCTAGGTAACCAGTCTGATTGTTGTATGTTTTTGTATAGATGAGTTCATTGGTATGTTATTCTGACCCAAAATCTGTCCCACCACTGATTGGATTTTGGTAAAACTTTGGGGAATGACGCATATCAGCACTATCTTCAGGCTTTTTCAAATCTAATTACAATGTTGCTATTGTAGGTCTGAATTAAACATTTTAATAACCACATCTCCCACGGTGCAAGTTTGAATAATTTGATGATTACGCACAAGCATCACAGTCTCGCTTTGTTTTTGTTTTTTTCCCACCAGCTTTTGAAAACCACTTTTCCTTTTAAAGCTACTTTACATGAATGAGTAGCTGCATTTTTTGACTTATGGTCAAACCATTTTTTTAAATTAGCATAGGGCTTATGCATGACCATAAAAAGCAACATATTTTCACACAACTTTATCTCTGAGACATTAAGTAATAGATAGAAAAACACACCCTGTCATCTTGCCAAAACCCATAGACACCTCCATTCTGTTTTACTGTGAGTGCATGAGGTTAAATGACTGCAAGTTAATATGCTCTATAAACACTATGGACATTGTCTCTCTCTGGCAGGGCCCTCTTCCTGGAGAGGGCTATTGCAGCCAGGCTGTTGGGACTGTCCAACTCACTGAGCACCTTCCACTTCTCTGTCCAGACGCCTGATGGAAAGGCGTTCTTATTGGTAAGAACAAGCTAACATAATCAGAGAAACCATGACATATTAGTAAAAATAGACTACTCGATTAATGGTTAATGGGAGAAAGCGTCCTTCAAGTGATGTGAAAAGCTGATTGGCTGTGATTATGAATTGTTTGAGCACACTGCCAGGCTTTGCCGCTTCTTTAAAATCAGCTACAAGTGGATTTTTACAAGTGGCTAACACACCACTGCAGTAAAAAGAGTTTGCTGATAAATCTATTCATTTGGGCATTATCCATTTCATTGTCCATTTAGTATTGGATAGTAGTTGTATTTTAAGTAGTTTTAGTGTAAGTGTTTATATTCCAATATTAATATTATTTTAACTGAAGCTGGCTGGTGTTATTTCCCTCCCCCCCACACACACATTCTGGCAGACTTGACACTCTAGGACATTAAAGCTTGTCACTGAAACTTACTTAAAAGGGTTAGCAATAACCATTTAATTAATCCTGTGTGCAATTGGACCAAAATGGATCAAATTCTTTCAGGAATAGAAAATCAAATCATCTGGATCATATCATAGGGTACAGTAACAGCAATAATTGTAAATTAAACCACTTTCTTTCTTATCAAATTTGTTTTCTTTACTTGTGATTTTATTAAAGCCCCTGATAGATCTTTTTTGAACAAACTGCTATACAACTTTGGGATTTAGGAGAGGTAATGCTGTAAATAAAGTGAGTGAGAACCATATTTTTTATCACAAATATAGAGCATATGAAGAAACATGTTTTTACAGTTGGAAAGCAATGCTTTATTTCCTGTAGCGGACTTCAATTTTCATAAAATCAGGAAAAGCCATGAAGTATAAACGTAATAAAACAATTTTTATCTGTTAAATGTTTATTGAGTGACCCCAAGCAGAATATGAGGGTCATTAAAAGCACATAACCATCCCCAAAGTATCACTCTAGCCCCGGTGTGCATGAGTGGATGCACAGAATTTATGTATTGGAGTCTGACTCCTTTGCCCATGTGGCATCTGAGTGTTAAGTGACCTGTATGCTTCTCCCGCAGCTTTGGCTGCTGAACGGCGACTCCATCATAGCGTCAGTCCCAGAGACGTGTGTCGGGGGTGAGAGGTCTATCAGCTCCCCGGCTCTTCACAGTCCATCACCCAGAGCTGCCAGGGCCCTGAAACTCCTCTACACCTCCTGCTCTCACACAGGCATCGAGCAGAGAGAGTAAGCGAGGACTCTTACTGCATCTTCCGCCCTCCAAACCCCCTCCCTTCAATCTTTGTTTTCCTCTTCTTAATCTCATCCTTTCATCTTTCCGACGCACCCTCTCAATCAGCACCTGTCTCGGCTCACCGAGAGACATGAAAGACCACTTTGTTGGGGCACAGATTTCAGGTCTTAATAGACCACTTTGCGCTAAGGGTTCCTGCGCAGACATAATTGTCTGTTATTTTTGAGATTGCCATCAAAGGTGTTTATCATCTCAGTGTTGTCAGTTGCATAAGCCACGCTCATGTTTGTTGCACATACAGGGGATGTTGTTTTGACTGGAGCGAGGCTCTGTGTACCTTGCTGTGATGCATTAGAGAGGTGTAGGTGGATGTGCTGCATGTGGTCCTCTATGTTCAGTACAGCAGCACCCCACTGTAGAAGCCTTCCACCCTCATTATTTTCAACTGAATCAGCACTCAGCGTTTTTACCCCTCCTCCTCTTCCTCCTCCTTTCCCTGCAGCCGCCGTAGAGTGAAGGCAGAGCAGAGAAGTTTTGATGTTTCTACCAATTTGACAAGCCTACCGGCTGACTGACGGAGAAAGGGTAATTACAGGAAAAACTCCCATGAAAGGAGGAAGGCTTGTCTACTCAGTCAAAGCAGCGAGAGTGCATTTAAATGACATGATAAACTGTATGAGCTGAGTGATGCTCGGGAAAGTGTTTCACCATAGGTGCACGCTGGGTAGCAAGAGAGATGTCGTCCTGGTAAAACAAGCCATGACAGCAACTTCTGACTGGAGCACTGCTGTGTTTGGCAAGTCTGGAATTTCAGCTTTTCACTTTTTGTAAGAATTATTTCATAGAGGTCATTCTCAGCCCTGCCAGAAATGAAATATAAACTTTTATGCTTTTAGGTTTTTTTTTTTTTTTTACAGTAGACTTGTTAGACCCATCCAGAATATTATATAAAATATATTTGAGTTTGAAAAAACTCTGATAATGTATGTGCCAGATTCATATTTCTACATGAACACACAACATACATGAACATTTTTGAAAAATCATTAGCAAGATGTTTGAGTAAAAATATATTAATTTCAGTCATTGCTCCCTGGTGGACAAATTATGTAATGGTGTTTCTAAATGATCTCAAACACATCTTTGACTTTTCTGTATTGCAGCACTTATCAGGCGACACAAATGCTGATATCAGTTTATATGCAATAAGCTAAAATCAGCCCATGTAACTGACTGTCTCTATTTATTTAAATTATTATAATATAATATAATTAATTATTACCAACTCCTCATCAGTCACAGAACAGAATAAAAGTCTTTGCTTTAAGGCTTCACATTTGAGCAAGTGCTTTCTGAATTTTCACCTATTTTCTGACATTTTTCTGAAGTCTTGCAAAGCTAAATGCCGGTGTTACTCACACTTCCATTTCCCCCTACATAATTTACCATCCATCCTTCATCACTCATCTCTGACATTTTTAAATTAAATGTTGGGCCTGGGGAGCTGAATTCCCTGGATGATGGCCCTCTTATTCAGGATACAGTCGGGTACAGTCGACTGCAGCCAGAGGTTGCAGTATGTGTTGTTAAAACTGCCAATAATTGGCTGGAGAATCAGTGAGCCAATGCCTAAGTGGATTACGCTTGTCACTAATGGCGGTGACTTGATTATGAGTTGAGTGAAAGTCGCAGGCACCATCACAGTCCGGTACAATGGGATTGAGGTCTCATAGATATGGAAATTGAGTCTAATGGAAATTGTACGGGCCATAGAATTTGTTCTGATATGTGAGTAATCAAACCGTACTTTAGATGATATTAACTACATTTCTAGGCACAAAGAATTATGATTTCGACTCGTTTGGGTCTGTGTGTGTATGTGATAACTTTATTAGATTTGCTGTGTATACAGTTCAACCAAATTAACCCTCATTCTACCGACTGGGGTACCCACAGTTATACTTTTATATACATGTCAATGGTCATTCCAATTTGTCATGACTCTGTCAGTCAGTGTGCCCTACTAACCATTATTTTATTTTCTGTTTCTGTTTGAAATACCTGCAAATTTTGGTCCTGGAGGACACCAGTCAGTAGCACCCCACTATTTCACAGATACAGCAGACACAGATTTCAGTCTGTTTTAGTTTTTACACAATATGGGTTAGGGTTGGATAATAGTGATAACTGTAACTTTCCTAAAATAATAATTATAGACTGTTTGGGTTTTTTTTCAGATGAAATTAATTACATAACTATTAATGTTTTAAGAAGAAATACATTTTCAATAAGCTAACATTTTTATATGTGTTTGCTTCTTACAGTAGTTTATTCTTGGTGTTTCCAGGGCCCCAGTCCTTGTCTGGTAAATATGTCAGTAAGATGAGGGTGAAGACACAGCAAATATCCCATGCATGTAAACATGCAGTGCGATGGAAGTAGAACTGCAAAAACTTTGGGAAGACTTTTCCCTCTCAGGAACTGCACAGATGGCTAAATGTCACCCAAACGAACTGGATCAGCACCACACACTGACAGAGCATCAATCTTTTCTCTCTCAATCACTCCTCCTCTTCTCCTTTCAGTCCCCTCTTCTTTTCGTCTCACACACAGACACTTATTGATGCCACACACACACACACACACGCCATATATCCATTTTTATGTATCCCTAGTTATCTAGTTTACAGTTTAAAACTATGTAATTAAAACGTCTGGACAAATATAGGATTTACAGCAGCTATTCTGGGCATCATCTTGATAGTATAATGCCGTGGCAGTCACTTTAAATCATTCCTCCTCTGCTCTGTGTGTGTTTTCAGCATTGTAGCTAGTTGGGAGGTCAATGCCATAGGACATCCTGTGGTGCTGCCACTGACTGTGTGCGAGGAGCTGCTGCAAGTGATAGATGACAGCAACTCGACACTCCCTGTGTCTATGCGTTGCATGAGGTCCTATGAGGTGAGACATTTACCGTGTAACTAACTAACGCATGTCGATCCTTGGCATAGCAACGTGTTTGTAGGTATTTGTAATGTGCTTATGTGTTACTGTGCAGTATGAGCAGAGAGATGCTGAAAGTTTATTTTCATCTTTGTAAAAAGCTGCGTTAGCAGCACAGCATGGACTCATAGCTGACAGCAATCACTTATTTCACTTAGTTCTTACTTACAGCACCTTGTTTATCCATTATTCAGTAGTGCTTGACAGTGTATCCCGACTTAATTAATTTCATGATTCAGAGCTTTCAGTTAACAGCTTCGCTGTAGGGATTATGTGGGTCAAATGTAAGGTTTTTCTTTTGTCAGCCTTATTCCAGCTTTTATACACCTGTAATTGTGCAAAATGTGTATATTTAGCCAGAGTTGCCAAGGAAAAACCGTTTGACTAGAAAATAGGAGGTGTTAACTTTGCTGACATCTCTATTCTCCTGCAATTTTAAACATAGTTACAGGGGTAATTAGCACCATTATCCTCCACTTCCTGCTCAGAAAGTTTAGGAAGTGACTCCTACCACTTAAACAAGTTTAAACAATATGAGAGCTGGAATAATATAGCGTCAGCAGATATTTGAGGCAAGTCTGCTGTACATCAGGTGAAGCCTCTTTTGTTGTAAGCCTCGGCGGAGTTGTTCACTTGAGTCTTTCTTAATCTAAAGGCAGTGGAGTTATTTAAAGAAGGAATTCTTTATTTGCAATGAAAAGGTAACCTATCCAAATATATTCTATGTTTTTAATTTTCACATTTGTGTAAAGATTTCAAATGAAACGGACATCCATGGCCACACTAGAGTTAAAGATGCAACTCCAGCCAAACTGGTTTTTGAGATAGCATTATATTCACCAAAAATGTTGGTTGGTCCTCATCCAAAAAGCCTGTTCTCTGGTAATGTTTAAGATGAAAACATACTTTTTTAAAATACGCACCAGAATGAAAGCTAACCAGCCGAACAGGGTTATATCATAGCCACTGCACTCTAAGATCAATGCTCGTCTTCTACATGGATCATTAACTATTTAGGGTGCTATCTTTTTTGCCTTGGACAGCCTTAGTCTCAGTCTTAAGCATGATTATGTATGCAGCCATCAAGTACACATTTACGACCCCTTTTACAGGGTTCTTGGTTTAATACAAGTCAGCTGGAAAAGTTTTTAAAGCATGCTACACCAGGCCTGTGAAACGGGGCAGTGTGTTTGTAAAAGACAACTCCAATGCTCGTCACAACAAGAACAAAAGATTTAGTTCTGTTCAAACAACAATGAATTAGAAGTATGAAGAACTATGAGCTCAGAAGGCAGTAATAGTATTTTACTATCATACTGGGATTTGTGTTGTTGGAGTAACGCAATTTCAAAGCTGAAATTCAGCAATATGTCACCTTAGAAGAAGTGGAATTTGGAATAGAGGGCTCACTTACACTGGATTGCTGTTCTTTTTATTTCACCTACACCTCCTCTCTTGCCAAAAGGTGTTGTGCCTCACACCTTAAAATGCTCACACCACAAGCCCTGAGGATGACAAACTAATAAAAATTCAGAACTGTTGCTCTTCTTTCTTCTACACATTGTAGTATAATTATATTTATTTTTTTTGTTTCCTGAGGTAACAACATGACAGTGGTGGGCGGGGGAAAAAAATTAGGCTCTGTTGAAATGGAGAAGGCTACAGAGCGACCCAGACACAGGACATAGTATCTGTCTGGTGGTGGAAGCGGTTACAGCAGTAAAGAGAGTGTGATAAATTAACACACTTGAACACTTCCTGATAGTAGAAGCTTGTGCTATAGGCGGCAGAGGACAGGAAGGTAATGTGATCATAGGGGCATCTAGAGTTACCGAAGGTGGTCTAAGAGCCTCAGAGAGTCCCTGTTCAAATACACTGCTGCCCAGAGGGTCAAAGGAGGAGGACCAACATGCAGTGGGACGGCAGTCTGGAAGCTTATAATGTTTCGAAGAGTGGCATCTGCTAGAGAAAGTGAGATGAAGATGTGAGAGCGAAAGAGGAAGAGAGAGGAAGGGTATTGTGAGCAATGGTTTTCCTACTGCTTTAAAAGACCTTCTTGAGAAGAGCGATTGGCATTAGCATTCGCAATCACTTCAACCTCTTTTAAAGGAAAATCTTGTATCGTGTTGAGCATCAGACAGAATTGAACAAATTTAACCCAACAATTCTGAATCACTTATTTGGAAGAGAAAACGGAGAGCGATGTTAAAGGCCCAGCACACCCACACAGGTGCTTTCACTTATCCAGCCTGATTAGATCTCTGCTCAGGTTCAAGTACTGAGAGTTATGTGAGGGCACCGAACTCCATGTACTATTAGACCTATGGCACAGCAGCACAGGTCTAATTAATAACAACTGTATTCCATTTAGGTGTGCCAGTTCCAGGGCCCTTGTATTGACTTACTGGAAGACTTTAAAGGTACTGAGCCATCATTAAAAAAGCAGTAACGCCTGTGCTTTTCATGCTACGAGAAGCCAAAATGTCTGCTGTGAAAAAAAGACCTATTAGAATAGGGAAGGCAGGAAGATACCGATCAAGTGCAATCTGTATACAGTCCTAAGAGGTCTAATCAGGAAAAAGTGAAAACATGTGTGTGAATGGACCAAGGGTTCAAAATGTTCACAGTACATTAAGGCTGCTCAATTAATCGAAATTTGATCATGATTATGATTTTGGGGCCAAA